ATCGCAGGACAGCTACCTCGGCGGTAATTAGATGCTGCAGACTCTGGGCCGCCTCCAGCGATTTCTTGTCGCCTCAACCAAGACAAAATGGGCCGGGGGGAAAAAAAAGACAAGGGAGCCCCGGCCGTTAACCCAGCTGTGATTAATGTGGGGCATCCCCCAACGTCGGTAATAAGTTGTTTTTTTTTTCCCCAAAATCGGAAGCGCCCATCCATCACCTGCTGTCAACGCTTAACAAAACCAAGCTTCCGAGCGAGCAGAGATGCTGTGGTTTACAACCGGAACCAAAGGGGGTTTGTTTTTGTTTTTGTTTTTAATTCCCCAAGAGGCATTTGGACTTTCTGGGGTTTTTGTTTTTTTTCTTTCTTTTCATTTCTCATCCGAGAAGCTTCTTCAGCTCTGAGTGGAGGCTGGTGGGGAAGGGAAGGATTTATGCTCCTTGCAGGCAGCTGGTCATTTGCACTCTCTCCTTTTTTTTTTTAGAGAGAGACTTTGAGGCCGCTTGGAGTCCCAAAGGTGTTTTTTTCAAGAGACAGCTGGATTTTCTAATTTTTTTTTTCTTTGAAGACGTTTCGCTTCTCGTCCGAGAGGCTTCGGCAGCTCTGAGTGGATGCTGGTGGGGGAGGGTTTTTACTCCTTGTAGACAGCAGGTCATTTGCGTTCTTTTTAGAGGGACCTTGAGGCCGCTTGGAGGCTTGTCTGTGGGGATGAGATGTCTGCACCTGGGTTCAACAGTGAAATGACACAGGGTAGGAAACACCCTGCAGAAAGCACAGCTCCACAACCCAGCTCCTTTCAGCAGCTCCAAGACCCCACACCCCTCGGGTGACCCTGAGGACACAGATAAACCTCCAAGCGGCCTCAACGACCGTCTAAAAGGATGCAAAGGACCAGCTGTCTGCAAGGAGCGTAAATCCTTCCATTCCCCTCCATCCAGTCAGAGCTAAAAAAGCTTCTGGGATGAGAAGTGAAACGTCTTCAAAGAAAAAAACCCAGACAGTCCAGTTGCCTCTTGAAAAAGCACTTTTGGGGACAGCTGTGACATGGATGGTTGATGATTTCTTTAGACATTTACCATTTGAAGTCAACCGGTTCAGAAGAACCCACAACACGGGGCCGTCAGGGGGAGAAATGACATCGAAGCTCATCTGACAGTGAGAACAGCTAATCAGCGGAACGACTTCCTCCAGAAGTTGTAGGTATAGAGATCTGGACAGCCCTGTATCTGAAATGGCTCAAGTAGTCTTCGACTTATAACTGTCCATTTAGTGACCGTACCAAAAGTTGCCTATTGAAAAAACACCTTTGCATGTATTTTTTTCCTGGATGACTGAGAATCTCCATAGAAACCTACCACTGAAAGTTACAACGGCACTGAAAAAGTGACTTGAGGTCCATTTTTTCACACGACCACTGCGGCACGCCCATGGTCATGTGATCAAAGTTTGGCTGCTTGGCAACATGACTCATATTTATGAAGGTCGCAGCACCCCAGGATCATGGTGATCCCCTTTTGTTTAGCCTTCCGACAAGCAAAGTCAGCGTGGAAATCAGATTCACTTAACAGCCTCGTTACTGACTTTGACAAGCGCAGCAATTCATTTAACGATTTTGGCAAGAAAGGCTGTAAAACTGGTCTCACTTAGCGGAAGAAAATTTGAGGCTCAGTTGTGGTCACAACTCAAGGAATACCTGTATAGGATCTCCTGCTCGTGCAGGGGGTTGGACTAGAGTGCCTCTGAGGACCCTAGAATAGAATATGAAATAATAGAAAAAATAGGAACAGAAAATAGGATAGGATAGGATAGGATAGGATAGGATAGGATAGGATAGGATAAAATAAAAGGGGATCGAGTGACCCCTGGGATATTGTGACTGTCATAAATAGGAACCAATTGCCAAGCATCTGAATTTTGATCACATGAATGGGGATGCTGCCACGGTCGTTAAGTGTAGAAGTGTAAAAATAAGTCCCATTTTGCAGTTCTGTTGTAACTTTAAACAGTCACTAAACGAACTGTTGTAAGTCGAGGACTGCCTGTATCCCCAAAAAGCATGATCAGGACAAAGTAAAGCCAGAACAAAAATGAAATCCGATATTATTTCATATCTCTATATTATAGGAGAGCGAATACAATAATTATTAAATTTGAATGGTCACTAAATGAACTGTTTGTTAAGTCGAGGACTACCTGTAAATAAATCTAGATTATTAAAAATGAAGCCACGTAGGGGGTACTAGATAAAAACCTTTTTTAGTTCTGCCCTCCCTTTCTCACCTTCCAAACTGGTGATCAGGTTGCTGTACAGGTAGTCCTAATGGTGAGTCCTAAAGTCCTTTTTCTTCCAAAGACAACTGGACTTTCTTCATTTTTACTTGAAGAGGTTTCCCTTCTCATCCAAGAAGCTTCCTCAACTCTGAATGAAGGGTGGCAAATGGAAGGATTTCTATTTATAGAACTGAAGAAGCTTCTTAGGTGAGAAGTGAAACGTCTTCAAGCAAAAACCAAGAAAGTCCAGTTGCTCTCGGGAAAAAAAGCCTCTTTGGGACAACCGTGACCGGGATGACTGAGAATCTCCATAGACATGTGGTCCTTGACTTATGACCCACAACCGAGCCCAAAATTTCCACTGCTGAGCGAGGCAGTCGTTAAGTTTGAAAGCCGGCTGGGGAATTCTGGGAGTTGGAATCGACCCGTCTTCTAGCTGCTAAGATTGAGAAAAGCCGCCCGAGGGCTGAGATCACGCTGTATTTAATTTACCTAAATGATTTAAGCAAGGGACCAGCTTCAGACTCAAGTGGCTGATCACATCCCTGCGTCCCTCTCACAGTTAAACTGGAACACTGAATAAATTACGACTGAGCTCTGATGTGCTAATTCACCGCCTGCTGGGAATATGACATTATATACAGGAGAAATATGACCGCTCCTCTCCATTGCGCAGCGTCCAAGTATTCTTTCTACAGGTAGTCCTTGTCTTACAACCGCCTTTGGGACCGGAGGTCCTGTCATAAGCCGTCGTGACGAAAAGCATTTTAAGTTGAGGCAACCATAGGACTGGACCCTCTTTTTTAACAGAGGTCCTTAAGCAGATCAAATAGTCATAAATCCAAATCACAGTTGCTAAGCAAATCAAACAGTCGTAAGTGCCAACCCATCCTCCAAAATGCCGGGAACTGGCAAAGAGCATCACAAATGACGGTCACGTGACTGTGGGATACTGCAAAAGTTGTAAATGTGAAACCGGTTGCCAAGCAACAAACACGGGGTTATGTTGAAGGAGGGGATCATTTTAA